CGCAGCCCTTGTGGCTCAGGGCGCCGGTGTTACCCGTGTTCCTGCTTTGCTGTTAAACTGTTCTGTATCTGGGTGTTGTGTTTGTCAGGCCTTGGCTAAACTGATGTTAGCGCTGTGTCCACAGTTCGTTCAGGGTGTGGGTGCAGGTTGCTGTCAAAAATTGCCTTTCCTTACAGAGAAGGGTGGATTTGAGCCCTTGTGTTACTATTTCGAGTGTGTTAGGGTGAGTTTAAGGTCTAATATATTTCTAAACTTGTGTCCAGTGCAGTTTTGGAATGAAATATTTTCATTTTGAAAAATACAATGGGATAGGTTCTTCATTGAACAGTTAGATGATGCAAAAAGTAATCTAAATGTAGATGATTTAAAAACCAATCGCTGATGTGTGGCTGCAGCAGATCTGTGATATTTTTGTCCCCTTTGTTCTGAGAATAACTTCGAGGTCACTGGAGCTGTACGGGTTAGAGAAGAAATGGAACTTAATATTGTGGGCGGTCATGGCTGGTCATGTTCTGTAGCCACTTATTCTGGCCTGCTGTTCTTATTCTTTGCTACTGGTCTTTGTAAATCGGTATTTTCAGACTTCTGAATTTACTGTTGCATGCTTTTGTCTTCCCATGCTTCAGGGAAGCCTTCTCCCTGAATCCGTGCAGTAATCTGTACTCTGAAACATGGAGCTGTTACCCAGACAGTAGCGGGGTATCTGCAGATGTTACATGAGTTCTGCTGTAGTGTCTGCAGATGCTAAACTGTAACTACATTGAAATATTAATGGTGACGATGATGGATTTGTGAGTCTGTAAAAAGCACAGTAACATGACAAAGATACAGATCTCCAGGCCCAGTAAATGACTAACAAGCAGGTGAAATAACTTGCGGCTGTTAAATGGGAAGGGCAGGATCCTCTGCTGTGTGTTTCAGTCACTTCTGCATAGACTTGGGCAGCTGAAAGGGTGGTGGGTTGTCTTGCAGATTCAACTGAAAATTGTAATTTTTGTTTGTGGGGCTGATCTCCATGTGGATTGATAACCAGTAAGAAAAATGTTGACAGACTGTTAGAGCGGAAGGCTTTAGGTATCGTGTAGCTAGGAAAAGAACAGTGGGAAGGTGGTATTGCTGCTGATGGTGACACTGTATTAGATGAGGTTTAAAAGGTTGTAAACCACAGTGAAGTGGTTTTTTTTTGAGTTTTTATCTCTATTTTATCTGTGTATGACTTAAAACTGCAATATCCGTACAAGTGTAAGAAGCTGTTGGCTACACGTGTGTGTTTTAAGGGAAAACTTATTCCTAGTAGGGAGCGGGTTAAAGCATCCAGAACTGAGCTCTACAAGTTTCTGAACAACCTGATGCAACTCAGAAGTTAGCCTTTCTTTGAGCAGGGGTGGGACCACATGAGCTGTAAAAATCCCTTCTATTCTAAATTATACTGTGAATATCTTGAGATAAGTGGCTGCAGCTTAACTCACATTTGCTTGTGTTTCATAGGAAAAACTGTGTTGTAAAGTTTGCTCACAGATTGTTGTAAGTTTACAGGTGGAGTGGTGGAATGCTTGTTACTGGATTCACATAGAATTCTCTTTAACTTGTTGAATTGTTGTTGGTTTTTAGGGCAAACTTAGACATGACTGATGCAGCTGAATCCCAGACTCCTGGCTCTGATTACCCTGATGCCCAAGAGCTGATACGCAGCCAGCAGAAGGAGCCATGTGAGGTACATGTATGCGAAAGAAATACACGAACAGAGTGTTCACGTTCAAGGCAGAAGAATGTTGCTCCTGAGGAGTCTTCAGATGAGTTTAACGGTGTATGTAAATCATCACCTGCTTCAGCTGAGGTTTTGCTGGACAGCAGTGATTCAGAAATGTGAGTTTTTATCTCTAGTTTAGAACTCTTCATGTGAAGAACCTGTGTCAGATATCACAAAAGTACTTGTTCTTTTGAAAGTAAGTAATTTTTTCCTTCATCTTCTTCAGTGATCTCTCCGCTGCTAGTGGCAGCGAGTACCATCCTGCCTGCTCCACTGCACCTTCAAAGCAAAAAAGGAGATCTCCATCTTTAAGGCAACAAGCTGAATCTGATGCAAGAGTGTGCGACAATGAAAGCTCTTCAGATTCTTCTCTGTCCCCTCAAAGTCCAGTGAAAACATCTGAAACTTCCCAGAAGCAGAAGTCAAAACTCAATTTGAAAGCCATTTTTGCCTATCACTTCAGGGGAAAGAAGTTTAAGGCTGCTGCACGCCGAAAATACAGCGGTGGCACAGGCAAGCAGAAGAAGAAAAAGTATGAGAGCACACGGATGCCTGTAGGGAGGCCAAAACTGACAGCCTCGTCTCAGGAGCAAAAGAGAAGGCTTCTACACAGAGGTTTTCAATTCCCTTTTGTTGAAAAACATTATGGGAAGAAACACATTCCCTTAAAGATGGTTCTTGGCTATGAGGTGAGTCCTCTGTTTTGAGGGATATTGTTTTTTTTATTTCATCTAAAAATAGTGAACTTAAATTGGTTATGTTTACCTGGTGTACTACAGTAAAACAATGAAACTGTTTTTACTTCTGCTAAACAGGACACTTGCCTATTTAATAATTTCAGCACAAACACAGATAAAATACAGGTGTCAATATAATATTACAATTCAGTTTATAGTATAAATATTTTAGTAGTATTTTTAGTATTTCTCACCTCATGCATTTTTCTTTAGCAAGCAGCTACAAAGGGATATCTCCAGTATGTTGAAATGCTTAAATATGAAGAACATCTTAAAAAAGCTTTAGAAGCCCTTCAGGCTAGTGAAGACTTAGAAAGAGAATGTCTGATGGTACGGAAACACAAATATTTAGATGATGAAGGCCCCATTTCCCCTATTCAGGAAACAAAGTAAGTCCATCTTTATATTTTCAGGAGCTTTTTTGTTCTTATCATAGAATCTTAGAATGGTTTGGATTGGAAGGGACCTTAAAGATCATCTAGTTCCAACCCCCCTGCCATCAGCAGGGACACCTTCCACTAGATCAGGTTGCTCAAAGCCTCATCCAGCCTGGCCTTCAACCCTTCTAGGGAGGGGGCATCCACAACTTCCTTGGGCAACCTGTTGTAGTGTCTGACCACCCTTACCTAGAACACAAGTTTGTGCATACAGGTGGATGCCTGACACCCCCACTCCTAGCTCTTTGTCACCCCTAGCCTGTTTGCTGGTGTGGGGAGGGCATCAGCACTGCTTTAGTTGCAAAACCAAAACACAGCACCATCCAGGCTGCTATGAAGAAAGCTAACTCCATCCCAGCCAGACCAGTGCCATGTGCTGCTCTTAGAGTCGAGGAGTTCGGGAGGTAATACAGGTGTTTGTAGCAGCAGGTGATTTTGTGACAGGGTCGTAGGCATATGAAGTTTGGTTCCTGTTGCTGTCCTTTTAGCCTGTGTCAGCATTGTGTAATCTAAATGGGAATATCTGCTTCTGAAGTGATGTTTATTTTGGGAACAAAACATTCAGCCACTTGGGATTCTGTGTTTGTAAATATGATGTGGAACTTCGTGTAGAAGGAGATATTTTTAATCTAAAGACATCAGATCGTTGTTTCAAGTGGTGATTTGTACTGGCTCATTAAAATGACATGATGGAAACTTTTTTTTCAGAAAAAAGTATTTCCTGAAGTTAGTTTCTCTGTAGTTGTGACCAATGAAGAAGTGTTTTATAGCAGTGACTGAAGGATATTTTTTTAATTTCCTTTTTACTTTATTAAGTATTGAAGTATCTTTATGTATTCTTTATGGTCAGTTACCTCCAGTTAACTTTAATGCAGCAAAGGGATCAGTGTATTGGCAAGAATACTTAATGTTGAAAATATACTCGGCACCTTAGATCTAGAAAGCCTAAAAGACAGTGTAAAGGTACAGAACTGTCTTTGAGCTACTGTTCGCTTCAGTTATCTCTTACACTCCTGACTTGTGTGAGTTGAAGTATTAGAGTAAAATGAGTAACAGTCACGAGTTTGCTCTTTTACAAAAGAGCAGAAGAAAGACAGTTCTGTAGAAAAAAACACAAGCCAGCTCTTCCAGACACTCAGTGCTTCATATGAAATGAGTATTGGAAGACTTTCTAGGTTCTGGAATCAGAACTCCTGGTGCCACTTTTTGAAACCATAGTACTAAAATAGCTTAATCTCTTTCTGGGGGGGTTCTTTCTATCTTGAGAGAAAAACCTGTGGATGGGAGTGGGAACTGGATTTTGTACTCGGTGTTTCTTGGCAGTATGGAGACGTTATTTCTCAGTTGTAGTATCAGGAAGACAGCTGTGTACTCTTGTTAGCTGAGACCTCGCCTCTTGTTTTCTTGCTTGTATTCTGCTTGTTTTCTAACTTGCTGACTTTCTGTCCTGTTGGCCAGTGTAATCCTAAATATCTCAGTACTACTGTTGATATCTGCTGCTAAATCTTCGTTCTGCTGCTAAGTACTGCTGCTGTCCTGGCAGTGTTGCTAGTTAGGATGTAATTCTGCTCTCAAATTCATTTGAGAACAGCCTCATGCAGAAGTAGTATTACCTTACCCCTACAAGCTGTAGCACTTCCATACACACAAACAGAAACCAGGGGTTGTGGTAGGAAAATAGTTTACACTTTCTAGGTCAGTGTAAAAGTACAAAGCTTGATTTGAATTTTTTATATTTCAGTGATGATGGTGACAGTGTGAATTCTGATAATGAAGATGACCTTGATGCCAGAGTAGTGGTGAGTAAATATTCCTTAACTTCAGAAACTCCCTAACCTTCTCTTCTGAAGGTTAAAGAATTAGTAGATAATGCTTTGCATACTTAATGCTTGAGGTTAGATCCAGAGTTAACTGATGATACCTGTGAATGCTGATCTGTAATGCAGAAGGAAGTTGTTTTGAGAGTCTACACTCTCCTCTTTGAAATAATACTGGAATACACAGATATTCTGGAGTTTTCTGAAGTTTACAAAGTTGCTACCAAGATCTTAACTTTTTAAGCATCTCAAAACTGGACTTGTGAATACTTCTGTCCTTCATTTTCTTAGGAGAACAGCTCTTTCATTATTAGCAGCAAAATTCCCAGCAAGAAAAAATCAAAACCAGAAACAAAGTGTGCAAAATCAAACAGTGTGATTGAAGTAGAGGACTAAGAAGACTTCTGTTGAGAACACTGGGCTTCTGCAAGGTTCTCCTCAGTGAACAGAAAACTAACAAATGAGGTGGCAGTGGTCACTCTTCATATACTTTTTTCATTGTCTACTTGGTTTAAAACATGGATCTGAAGTCAATGCTGAGCTATCAACCAAGCAACCTAGTTGGATTTGGTTTAAGGTGAGTCTATTGGGCTTGTGACAGAAATGGGTTACAAAACAAGCTTTATCTGTCTTTTTTTGCTAAGCTTTTAAGTGTCTTCTGAGCTATCCTGTACCAAGTGTATAATATCCTTGACTCAGTGGCTGATAATCTTGCTGAACTGCTGGCTTCTGCAACTTGACTTCTGTTAACCAGTGGATCGTAGAATTTATGTAACTAAAAATAAGAGAACAACTTTCAAAGATTGTAAGAGCAGCAGCACAGTATAGAAGAGTGTGCTTTTTGCATACATAAATATACATGCTCATGTTATGAAGGGCAGTTTGCCTGCCTTTCTCTTTCATAACTGACTCTTTGGCGAGTAAAATCAATTTGTATGATTGAGATGGTCTGTTCCATCCAGAGTAACTTTTCAGAAAACAATTTTCTGCTCCTGAACCCAATATAATAATCTAAAGTTGTAAGTTATCTTAAAAAGAAGTGTAGCAGCATAGCGAGTCTTAGATTTAAAGATTCTTTTTGCCCCTCTTGCCCTCCTCTGTCCAGAATGGGGTCTGATGTGAACGTGACTAAGCAGAAGATGAAAGCTCTTTATAATGACAGTATTTAACAAGCATTGTCCCAATTGCAAGTACCTTTCTCAGTCGTGTTTTAGACAGTTGGAAACATGACTAGGGAATGTTTAGAAATGGTCTGAATACAGCTAACTCATAAATGACAAGACTGTATTGGTAGTAGAAATAAAAAATTGTTTGAAAAGTTTTATCTGTGAATCAAGAAGATATAAATAACCAAAGGGTGATCTGCCTCACTGAAATACTTAATTAACAAAATCCCAACCAGCAACAAACTAACATCTGTTCAGCGGGTAAAAGTAGTCTGTGCTGAACAGGGATCTTGCCAAAAGAAGACTTAAAATATCTACCAGTTTAATTTCCTTCAAAATGTAATTGCCAGTCTGTGGAGATTTACGATAGGTGCTCAGTGTAATGAGAACAGGTTGAATTGTGGTCTGTAGATGCTTGAATTAAAGTCCCAAATCTTTGTAAAGGAAGTTTAGGGTGTGTGAATCGGAGCTTGGTAGCTCTAAGGAGTAAGACTGCAAAAATTATTCTTCAGTAGTTGAAGGTCATATTTAGTATTGGTCCAAAATCAGTTGCTAAGTAGAACTCTTAGGCATCTACCTGAGAAATACTCTGTATGGCTTGAAGGACTCACCCTGGATCTAGGAGTGGTGTTCTTGATAAGGCAGAGCGAGGTGGTATGTGGAGTCCCACTCGTTCTGCAGTTCATGTGATGAATTTTTCTGTTCAACTGCTGAGTGACTCAGAAATGAACTAAATTTCAATTCTGATTAGAACTGGATAAATACACAGGAATCAAGCTTATTACAAATGTTAAATTGATGGCTGAAACCTAGCTTTTGGCTTTCAGAATCTGCAGGCTTTTTACCATATCTGATAGCTCTTATTCCTTTGCTTTTTTTTCCCTTCTAGATCATGTTGCTTTTGGTAGATGAACTACCATGTGCAAGGTAAGCTGTTACTTGCTTTTCAGTTGTTTTCTTCAGGTAGCTTTTTTTGCTTTACTTCACAAAGCTTTGGAAAAAAAACAGTGTTTCATAGTTAAAGTAAAAACATTATGGTGTTTCACAGCTGTGGGACTTCTGTGTGAAGCTTCCCAAGGTATTGTGTTCACTGCAGCATCTCTTCATCAGTCTGACCAAAATTAGAGCTTATAGCTTCTGCTTGAATGAAAACTACAACTTTGGAGTTCTTGAATACCTGTGTATTAAATGCAGGTTTTGTTAGAGGTTATATATAGAAATACTTTGTTTGACACAGCATAAATTGTTCTTACGTCAACATGTCTGATACTGAACTGTTTGCCACACTTACCTTAGTCCAAACTATACCTGTCTCTAAAAATAGAAAATAAGAGTGGAAGGTGACAGTTATTAATGGTAAGTGTATAGTAAACAGAGAAATAGCTTCAAATGCTGTTTCAAAAGTAGTGGAAAAATGAAAGCTGATGCATTTAATGTGTTCCAGCACGTGTTCAGTTTTTGTCTGTTGCTGTAGACAAAAACCTGGAACCTAGTGCTTAGAAAAAACCCTTCTTTTGCAACCCACAGCTGATGATCGTATTAGTTGTGTTACTTACATGAAGGGACAATATTTGCATGTATTCAAACAGCAGTTCATTCAAAGACTGATGCATTTAAGGCATCAGTTTCATGTTCCAGGTTTGCAGAAGTGTAGTTCAGTTATATAATTTCTTTCCAGGCTCTGCAGATGAGCACACCAGCTCTGCAGCAGGGAGCAGCTGGCACATTTTTGGACTGCTTGAATTCTTATGGCTGTGTGGCTACTACTTTGGTGGAACATGTTAGTGAAAGAGGTAAGCTTTGTGTTTCTTCTGCACTTCAGGATGAGAATATTGATTTCTTTAAAGAACTATTTCCACAGCAAGTAATCTGACTGATTTGTGTGCTGTATGGTATCTGCACCCAGCAGTATCTTCCTGGTGGGGTGTTCAACAAGCAGTGCTACAGTATTTCAGCAGCTGGCATCGTTGGTTTTCATGCAGATGTGCTGGTTAAACTTGGTATTTCTGTTGAAACAAGTAGATGGAAAGTTTCTTATTGGGAAGCTTGTCAAATACAACACTGAAGAGCTGTTGAACTCTTAGGGGATAAAAGTATAGCTAAATGAGTGACCTTGCTCCAAAATATTTCTTGTTAAAGGAACGTTCCTCTGATTTCTGCAGCACAGTGGAAAGCCTCTACTTAAGGGTAAGTTTGAGGAAATATTTGTTTTTTCCTAGGTAGAGGTAGTTGGATGAGGATATAAAAGTTAAAGTCTTGGCTTTTTGGTTGCCTTTTTACAAAGAAGCAGTGTTTTACTTTGAAACACAAATCCAAGTACCACATGGTCACTAGTGACATGTTTCTTGCAAAGTGAACTGGCTAGGTTTCAAACAGAAGCTGTTTTGCAGACACTGAAGAGTTAATTGTTATGCCTCGTTATTCAGCAGATAGACACAACTCACTGTGTGTCTGAATTGAAAAACGTGGCTAGAAGAGTAACAGGTTGTGCTTTCCTCACTGTAAAGTTAGTTACAGTGGTGACAATGAGGCCTGTAACAGGTTTACTTAATGGGACAGTTATGTAAACACAGATCAAAATGCAGGTACTGTAAAATCCCAAGGATTAGCTTTTTTGATGTTTTTGAATTCTGCTTCCTACCTACTAAAGGAAGTAGAATTAGCAAGTAGAGGAAAAACACATGCAGTGCTGCTTTCTTGTAGATGGTTTATCGGAGCATGTTTGTAAGCTGTCTTAAAATGGTGTCTCAGGTGTTTCCTTTACATCACAGTACCAGGTGAGCATTAGGTAACTCCTGTAGTTGTACTTTCTGTGCCATAGAACACAGAACTGGGGTGGTTTAGTCTGGAGAAGAGGAGGCTGAGGGGAGCCCTCTAATCACTGTCTACAGTTACCTGAAAGGAGGTTGTAGCAAGGCAGGTGTGTGTCTTTCCTCCCAGGTAACAAGTGATAGAACAAGAGGAAATGGCCTTCAGTTACGCCAGGGGAGGTACAGATTGGATGTCAGGAAGAATTTCTTCACTGAAAGGGTTCTCAGGCTGCCTGGGGAGGTGGTGGAGTCACCATCCCTGGAGGTGTTTAAAAGAAGGGGAGATGGGGCGCTCATGGTTTAGCAGTGGACAGGTGTGGTTGGACTTGATGATCTCAGAGGTCTTTTCCAACCAGGAGATTCTGTGATTCTATGGTAGTCCTCCAGTTTCCTAAATTGCAGACAGATTTTGTTGATAGTTGTGTGATAGACTGGGCTATGGCTCTGATTTCAAAATAAATGCTCTGGTTTGGCATTAGCATTCAGACAGCATAACTGGACTACAGTCAGCCTGCTTCTTCCTCGGTATAAAAATGCCTAAGTCTTAATAAATTACTACAGTACTGAAGAAACTTGGAGCTATTACTCAGATGCAACAATTTACTTTTCAGGAAGCCTGCATGGTAGTCCAGTCTGAACCAGCATCTTGGTAAGTGTGACAGATTGGTTTTTAACCCTTGCCTGTTGCAGGTTAGTTGCCTTTCTTTAACTTAGCTGGTGACATTGCTGTTTTTTCTTACTGAGAAGATGCAATACCACTTCAGAGAACATAACAGCTTATCTTCCTCCAGACTTGAGAATGCTGTGAGAAAATTGTTGTGATGATTGGCACAATGTTCAACTGCTCTGAAGAGAGTGAGTGAGAACAGCCTTTCTGAACAAAGCTATCACGAGTGTCCCTTTCATGTCACTTTATTCTGGGCATCCGTTCTGAGCACTTAACAGCAGTGTTTTGTGTCAGCGAGCACAGATCCTAGCTGTGTGACTTGATATTAAAAAATAAACAGGAAATTAAGAAGACATGTTTTAAGTTTGTAAAATTTCAATTTTTCAGGTGGAATGTAAGTAAAGAAAATGAGAGAAGAAATGCAGGATGCAGTTTCACAGAAATCTGAAGCCTCTTTGAGGTTAGTACAACATCTGAAGTTCTGCATATTCTTTAATGATCGGAGGGCTCTGGGTTTCAGTGGCTGGAAGTCTGTATCACATCAGGCTTACTGACTTGTGGAGTGCTTCAGGGACTTCTCAACACTGTGCTGGTACATTGTAACGTGGTATTCACTGCCTGTTAAGCAGAGAATTTATTTTAACTTTGATTTGTCCCAAGAACATGTGTACAAATTTCTCAGTCAAAAAGGAGGTGATCTGCTTAACTGCTTGAACTGATAGTTCCACTACTACAAATAAGCTACCACTTGTCAGGAAAGTCAGAGGGAGGATTTTCTTTGAGGTCAGTTTTGTAGTTAATTCCCTTTGTTGTTTGCCTTTCAGGTAGCATTAGCTTTTACATTATGACTGTTACTAACACAAAGGAGTTGCTTCATCTCCCCCAAATGTCAGGTGTTTTGAAACAAGTTAAAAAGGCTCTTAGTAGGATCTATATGAGATGCCTCTCCAGCCCGATTGATTTTTATCTATCTGTTGTGTTGATTTATAGTACCAGAAATGTTGAGGTCTATCCCGATAGGATCTCCTCTGTAGGTTCGTGTCGTTGGAAATGCCTCACAGAACAAACTTGTGGTTTGGCTTTACCCATTGAACTACCTGTTAGCTCTGTGGGATAAAACTGCAAGACAGATCTCTGCAGATGTAGCATCCTAGGAACTGTAATAACGCGTGATGTTCTCCTTTAGGTACTGACTTGTGCTTTTGATACAAATTAAAAAGTGATTCAAGTGGAAAACCTTGGTAAGAGTCAAAAGATGGTGTGTTGTGGGACTTCAGATGTGACTAGCATGTTGAATGGCATGGGCTGACCTCACCCTTCAGCCAGGCTTTTGCATAGGTACCTGATTTCTAACACTGTTTCTTGTGGTTTGAGTTCTCTGGATGCTGTGAAACAATCTGTTCCCCCTTTGATCACAAAGGAGTGATTATTTCCTGTTTTGGTGGCTGTAGGTAAGAGACAGCACTACAGTGTCTTGTCTCAACTTGAAGTGACTCAATAAACAAGCAAAGTACTCAGGGGAGAAGTACAAATCTTTCATGGCAGGAATATATAAAAACCTGAAAGGATTCTGAAGCTGCTGTTCCTATGAGGTTAAATTTATGGAGTCTCTTTTCCGTCTTAACTGCATGGCAGCTTTTGTGACATGGCGAGTGTATAAGCCTAGCTGGACACAAACAGGTGCATACAAAAAGCCTGACTGTTGACATGAGGGGTTGTGGATGAAGAACTGCAGCCATTGCACTGTATGGTATCTGCACCCAGCAGCTTTCTCCTGATGGGATGTTCAAAAACCAGTGCTACAAGAGTTCAGCATTTGGCATCGTTGGTTTTCGTTCTGCTGTGTCTGTGAAACCTGGTATTTCTGCTGATACATTCTTTGTCCTTTTCAAGGATCTGAGCGTGCTTGCTTTGTGTTGAGAACTGGACACGGGCCTCTGGAACTCTCCAAGTTTCCTTTCTTTTTTTTTAACAGGTGTTTTAGGCTACAGAATAATGTGAATTGCTGTGTTAAAAGGATTGGCTGCAGCAGATAACCTGTTTGAGAGGTAAGCACAGAGTTATCTGTCAGTTCAGAAGGTTTCATGCAACTTCACAGAAGTTTAGTGTGATAACTTGGTGTGACTCTGCTTCAGTGAGCTGTTCTGGAAAAGTGTAGCGATGGCTGTCTGGTGGCAGGGATTGCTGGGCAGTCATCACCCCAGAGTCTGGCAGTGTCTCAGCAGGTTACTCATCTGTGAGTCGTTCTTCTGTGTGCACCTGTACTTTAAAGGGATGTCACAGTTGTGCAGCAATTTGCAGTACTGGTTTGTGGATCAGATTGCTCTTAGTTGTGAGAAACTGTTCTGCGCTTGGAGATTTTAACAGGTTTTTAGGCTTGGTGGTGTACACAGCTTGGGTTACCTATTGGTATGATGGGTCCTTAACAAGAGAGGATGGGCAACGTGAATATTGATTGAAGTTGGTGGTAACAGCAGTGAGAGGACAGGACCTGGTCATTACCAAGGCTGCTGGGATGTTGCTGTTTCTGGTGAGCTGTGGACATGACCGTAAAGCAAGTCCATCAGACTCCTGAATTGCCACACGCTGTGGCACTAAGTCTGCTGGGAATAAAGCTTTGGTGTAGGACAGAGACACACACAGTGCTGCCACCTTCTGCTGTTAAGATGAAAGCAAGTTCCTGCTGCAGTGTATGTGGCCGTGTCCTTGGGCACTTCAGCACAGAGGAACAGAAGTTCTTGTTAGAACCTTTGTAACTGGGACTCCAGAAGCTGCTGTTAAGGATGGTTGTTGTGTGTGCACAGGCCAAAAAGGGAAGAGACAAAAGGCTGTTCCGTGTCATTTACATCCAACTTCAGTTGGTTTTAACTTTACTGACACTAACCAAATCTTGCACCCACAGTGTCTGCTACCACATCACTATGTGTTGGGGGTGAGAAACACCACCTGAGTGCCACCAAAGTGAGGCTGAAGGTAAGAGTGCTTAGCAAAAATTGCTGGTACTAAAAAGAAGAAATGCAAGGTCACTTCAAAGAGGGTTTGCATGGCTGAAAAACCAGCAGCTCTTAACGCGGTGACCGCATATTGAAATCCTCTGCAGGATGCCGTGGACACTTGGTGTGTGCTATGGTCTATTTATGAGGAGATACACCTTACAGAGTGAGGCCTCTTGGAGTGAACAAGGGTGTTTACCTACTGCCCTCAGGATTTTTGAGATGCTGATGTAGGGAAGAGGTTGCTCAGTTTCATTCTGAAACCAGCTGACTTCTGCAGCACCTGAAGCTGGAGAACAACACCTTGATACAATTGTGGCCTGAGCAGTCTTGTAATTTAATTGCTGCTTCCTTTTGCCTTGGCACTATGATCTGTTCTAGAGCTGCATGGAAGCCTTAGAGTGGATAATCCTGAAACAAATAGGTAAGGGAGGAGAGACAGGCAGGGGGCACTGTGAGTAGTTACAGGAAATGGAAAACTGTGGTATGTGGGGAGCTGGCATTAGAAATCATGTTTTTGCCCCTTAACATTTCAGTAAGGGGAGCATGCACGTGTTCCCTGTGTTACTGCTTTTGTAGCAGCACTGTGTCCTGAAATCAGATTGCTTCAGATGAGAGGAAGCCATGTTATGTTAAGTGTGAAGACTTCAGTGTGAGGAAGACAATGCAGTTTAAATTTATTTTCCTTCAGTAAAAGGTATGTTTTCTCTCTCAGGTCTTGGGGATGCTGCTGTGAGCCCGCTGCAAGGAAGAACTGCACAGCTCTTTCCAACACTGAGAGAATTGTTATCAATCACAGTAATTTAGAATCAAGCATGTCATTCTAGCTTCCCTTACTGCTCTGCAGAGTGCAGTGGGTGCCTTTGCCTGTACGCTTCCAGTTTTGACTGGACTGGTTTGCCCTCCTGGGAGAGGTGGTGGCCAAGCTCAGGACTGATACTTGGCTGCCTGCTTGGGGCTGCAGAGAGCCAAGTGTTATCAAGCTGAGATCTGACTAGAAGAGGCTCTGTCAGCTCTTCTCCCTCACTTCTCTGTCACTGTACTGAAGCTCTGGAGAGGTGTTTATTTTGTACACAATGTCACAGCATTTAAATAAAACCGATGTCTGAAAGCTGCAGCCTGGGGACATTTCCTGTTGCTACACTTGTAAGCAAAGAAACCAGCAGTGAGTAAATCACAGCTGATGAGCAGTGTAAAACTGTTGGTTTGGTCTCTTCCCTTCTGAGTGTAAGAATATTGATGTGTAGAGCCTGAGCTGCCCTTGCAGAACCATTAGGGTGAAGGTGGGAGAGACTATTTACACTCTATATATACTTTCCTCTCTTTGCATTGTAAAAAGCCTCCCCCTCATTTAACTCAGTGGAGTGACAAACTGGTTTGGCTTATGCTCTCTGTGTGTATCTGTGTGGGGGGTAAGAAATTGCTTTGACTGCTCTACTGCAGTGCATGCAACTGCACTATAGACTGAAAAAAATCAGTGAAAAGAAGCCTAAGCTATAGTTAACTGCTCATCAAAAACAAGCTTTCTAAGACTTCTCTGCTGCATTTTAAACAGGACCAGATTTAGTGATGAAACTGCCCTGTTATTCCACCTGCTGCTAAACAAATTCAATGTTATAGCAAAAGTTGAGCTTTAAATTTGTCCTGATGATCTAATTACTTGGCTCTGATAGAAGAACATCTGGAAGCAGTAACAGTGTAAGGTTTTTATTCTCTTCCTATCCTGAGGTGCTTTAGGATGTACCTCTTGACTGCAAAAACCTACATGTCCTAGTCTTAAATCACATAGTGCAAGGAATGGAAAGACTTCAGCTTTGTAGTAAATAAAGTAGCCTTGCATTGTGAGGATTCAATCTTCCTAAAAAAATTTATTTGAAAAATTGATACATATACATTACAAAAGTTTGTATGATTTCCCTGTAAAACACTATAATGTACATCAAGAAAGACTTCACAGTGTCAGTCTACTCCCCATGAGACAAGCAGTAGTTCATCTGCTGCTGCGGCGAGGGTGCTACACAGATTTTGATGGTTTTCCTACAGCTTAAAGCTGAGGGTTCTTAATGGTTCCACAATTAACTTCCTGCAGGCTGCAGTATTCAGTGGTCCCCTGGACTGTACCGACACACCAGTGTGCTCAAAGTCTTCTGCCAGTCATGGTGCCTTCCAAGTCTTCTTGGCTCGTAGTTTTTCCAGCATTTTCTGCAAATAAAACAAACCATGAGACTAGTGTAGCTTAAGTGACTACACTGAAAAGCAGTGTATTTAGGGGGGCACAGCTGAGGTGCTACTCAGCAATAACCTCTGTGTGAGGTGAAGGACTGTGCAAGTCTGGGCAATGGCAGCCGCTGCTCCAAAAAGCCTGGATTTCAGGAGAAAGATGGAAGATGTGTTTATTCCCCTTATGTTCTGTTAATTATGGAATCCATAAATCAATACAAAAAGCAGCAATTTACTCTGTCACAAAGAAGCTGAGGTGGTCAGTGCTGAAGGCAGCCTGTTCCACCTGTCAGGATTATCCAGCGTTTCCTCCCTTCCAGTTTTCTGAGGCCCAGCAAGGGGACAGGGAGAGCTAACACCTCGAGAACTAACACCTCGAGTCCTCCTGTTCAGTGCCCTGTTCTGAGCACCTGCAGGCAAACAGCCACGATTCTTGCATCAGGGTGCTCAGCAAGGCAGAATCTTAAGGCAGCTCAAGTAGCCAAAGAAAAAAAACCAAAACACTAACCCAAAAATGCCTCATAATGGAAATTCAGTCAAGTCTGGACTAATACAAACCCTGCCCTTCTCTTGCCAAGGACCTTCTAGCAGCTGGAGTCACTAACAGCCTTTTTGCTCAACCTCAAATCACCAGAAAAATTCAGCCTGAGACATACATGCTTTTTAGAGGAAATTTCAGCCCAGTCATAGTGCTGCCAAGGAAATTCTGAAGTGGGAGATACCAATAATATGACTTAAAATCCAGGCTGGTTTGATGATCTCCGTTGCACTCACACAACAGAACTCTCTCAATTAGTACAATTAGAACCTCAGTGAAATGAGAACTAGCCAGGCAGGATGATGGTGTAGCAGACTATTACCTTCTGAAACTCTTTAGCCTTTTCTCTGTTTTTAGCATAAGTTTCTTGCCTTGTTTTCTCTTCCTTTCTGACTTTTACTTCTGCACGTTGATTATAAGGTCTGCCAAAACAGGAAGAAAAAAAATGGTGTATGGTCAGGAAGAAAGTGGCAAAGCTGGAATAAGGTAACAAGCTTAAGAGTTCGTACTGCTTCAACTGCTAGAAATTAAGAGATTTTGAGTCTGCAGTGATCTAGAATCACTTCCAATTCCTCTTCAGCTGCATCTAACAAACACCCCGTTCAGGAGTTGTACTTACTGCATGTTAATAAACACCCAGGACCAGCTGTGAACTTTGCTTCAAGTTCAGTGGAGTCTCATGCAGCCTTAATGAGCAGGCTGCCAGTCACTTCCCTCTGCCAGTCACTTCCCTCTGCCAGCTGTGCGAGGGAGTGTCCCAGCAGCAGGTACCTGAATCAAACACGCTCAGCTTCTCTCCCAGCTGTTTCACATTAAGCAGCATTGAGCCCAACAGGAAGATCACAACCTGCTCTGACTGACCAGTACCTTTCACAAGACACATGAACTACTTTTATTACTTCTCCCACCTGTGTTCATGCAATACCTTGAAGTACGCTGGTGCATTTTAACGTCTCCAGACCTCCTGTCCTCTGGAGAAGACACTTTCACTTCTCCTGTTTTCTTCAGCTGATTGGCAACAGTACCTTTCTTCCCTGTAAAAGGGAAAAAAAAAAAAGCCAAATATAGTTTAAATTTCTAGTCCAGCTAACTCAAAAGCTGGTAGGTTTTCAAAGATGTTTAAATTA